ACGCTTCGCCCCCAGGCGAAAGAACCAGTGCCCCGACGTCGAGCCAGCGCCGTCGGCGGGACTGATGGATACCTCGCCATCGCTCGGACGGCCCTGCCCCGTGCCCTGCCGCGGCTCCGTGCGCTCGCTCGCGCTCGCAAGACGACCCGAGATGCTCCCCGAGGGTCCTGGCCGAGAGGAGGAGGAGGAGGAGGAGGAGGAGGAGGAGGAGGAGGAGGACTCACACCCGAGCGATGCCACGACGGATACTCAGCACGCGGGCACTTCGGCATAGGGAGCTGGCGCTCTCCTGCCACCTTCAGCCTGCACCGTCCCGCGCAGGAGCGGCGCTGCACCTGGCGCTTTCCTGCCACCCTGCTGCGCGCTGACGAGTCCTGAGATCCGACGCTGCGAAAGAAATGCAATCCCACAAGAGATCACGACCGGAACACCCCATCTTTCTGCCACATTTCTCGAGCAGGTCGACCCGGTCCCTGCGCCTTCTTCCGGCTAACACTCAAGTCCTACACCGGCAGGGAAGAAGAAGCCGCAACGTGGCAACGCCCATGCCTCGCCTGGCTGCGCAGTGACCGCAAGCGGAAGAGAGCATCGCCAGGTCTCGCTGCGACGAGATCGGCGGCGACGATCAGGGCGAATAGCCCAGGGGCGGGCATTACGCGCACTCGCCCGGGAGCCTCGTCGAAGACACAGATCGTCGGCGCCCCCGGATACATGTGCTGCTCTGGGGGAAGAAAAAGTGGCATAAACATAAGAACTCGGAGCTCCGCGCGGATTTCTCGGATCGGCGCTGGGGCCCCCCAGCGGCGCCTCTGGCGCCGCCCCTGGCGCGCTCCGCGCGCCAGGGAGGGGGGTCCAGCGCCGATCCGAGAAATCCGCGCGGACCTCCGAGTTTTTTACCCAACAGCGAAGACTGATAGGTTCCTAGTAGTGTCAAAAGAAAGCATCTTGACTCCCCAGGGGGGTCTGGGCGGGTGCCGGGGAGAACCCGCGGAAGTCGTTTTAAGCAAACAGTTACACACTTCGTGGTCTTGGAGGTCCCGGAACTCCATTCCTGGCCATGATTTTGAATGCCCGGAGCCAACTGTAGGCCACTTCGTGGTCTTCGAGTTCCCAGAACTCCATTCCTGGGCATGATTTTGAATGCCCGGAGCCAACTGTAGGCCACTTCGTGTTCTTCGAGTTCACAGAACTCAATTCCTGGGCCACATTTTGAATGCTGATGCAGGCTGAGGCTGAGGCTAAGGCATGCTGATGCTGCGGCAGGCTGAGGCTGAGGCCGAGGCTGAAGGCAGACTGAGGCTGAGGCTGAAGCTGAGGCTGAGGCTGAGGCTGAGGCTGAGGCTGAGGCTGAGGCTGAGGCAGGCTAATGCTAAGGCAGGCTGAGGCTGAGGCTGAGGCAGGCTGAGGCTGAGGCAGGCTGAGGCCGAGGCTGAAGGCAGACTGAGGCTGAGGCTGAAGCAGGCTGAGGCTGAGGCTGAGGCAGGCTGAGGCTGAGGCAGACTGAGGCTGAGGCTGAAGGCTGAGGCTGAGGCTGAGGCTGAGGCAGGCTGAGGCTGAGGCTGAGGCTGATGCAGGCTGAGGCTGAGGCCAGGCTGAGGCCGAGGCTGAAGGCAGACTGAGGCTGAGGCTGAAGCAGGCTGAGGCTGAGGCTGAGGCTGAGGCTGAGGCTGAGGCTGAGGCAGGCTGATGCTGAGGCAGGCTGAGGCTGAGGCTGAGGCTGATGCAGGCTGAGGCTGAGGCAGGCTGAGGCTGAGGCCGAGGCTGAAGGCAGACTGAGGCTGAGGCTGAAGCAGGCTGAGGCTGAGGCTGAGGCAGGCTGAGGCTGAGGCTGAGGCAGGCTGATGCTGAGGCAGGCTGAGGCTGAGGCTGAGGTTGATGCAGGCTGAGGCTGAGGCAGGCTGAGGCTGAGGCCGAGGCTGAAGGCAGACTGAGGCTGAGGCTGCAGGCTGAGGCTGAGGCTGAGGCAGGCTGAGGCTGAGGCAGGCTGAGGCTGATGCCGAGGCTGAAGCAGACTGAGGCTGAGGCTGAAGCAGGCTGAGGCTGAGGCAGGCTGAGGCTGAGGCTGAGGCTGAGGCTGAGGCAGGCTGATGCTGATGCAGGCTGAGGCTGAGGCGAGGCTGAGGCTGAGGCTGAGGCTGAGGCTGAGGCAGGCTGAGGCTGCGGCCGAGGCTGAAGGCAGACTGAGGCTGAGGCTGAAGCAGGCTGAGGCTGAGGCTGAGGCTGAGGCAGGCTGAGGCTGAGGCTGAGGCAGGCTGAGGCAGGCTGAGGCTGAGGCTGAGGCTGATGCAGGCTGAGACTGAGGCAGGCTAAGGCTGAGGCCGAGGCTGAAGGCATACTGAGGCTGAGACTGAAGCAGGCTGAGGCTGAGGCAGGCTGAGGCTGAGGCTGAGGCAGGCTGAGGCTGATGCAGGCTGAGGCTGAGGCTGTGACTGCGACTGCCGTTGCCACTGCGACTGTCATCGCGAATGCGACTGCGACCGCGAGAACAGCAGAAAATTCTACAACTGGACTCTCATCTGAATCTCAAGGGGCATGCTTCCAGAGACGCTTCGGCACATC